CTGTAATTCTGTAATCGAAAATTTTCGAATCGGTGTACCTTGTCGTGGAGCCGATAGGGCCATGCATGCAAGCCATCCCAGGCCATTTCAATAAACTGTCCCCATAAATCCCTACAACCCAGAGGGAAAGATATGGATCTCTTTTCAAACGAACGGATTCGCCACTGAAATTTGCCATCCTTCGGTCCTCTTCTCTCCTCTTACTTTTATTAAAATCTCCGAATGAATGGTAAAACGACAGTTAAAGGTTTTCTCACAAGATTCGAAATATCTTTTTTTTTCTGAATCGGATGGACACGGCAGGACCATAAAATCTGCCTGCGGGCAGTTCAGTCCAGCCGGTACGGGTTGACCGGGTTCCATGTTAAACATGTGCATTACAGCAATATTCCGAGGGTTTTTTTTATTATTTATTGTTTGGGGTTATTGCAACACCCGATATCTCACCCTGTTTATGAATTCAGTAGCAAAAAATCCAATCAATGGGGAAAAAAATCAAAATATAAAAACGAAAAAAGAAATTATTGCATTCAAGATGTTTTAAAAAATAATAAATAGATAAATTGAAATCACCACGACCGGTTGACCCTCTCCCCCCATAAACAGGCCCTAAAGGGAATTTAAAATGGCCCCCATGTGTTCCCGGTGGTACCTCTAACCGCAGTATTATCGAATGAAATAAAATCATCGTTCACCCTAAAAAATATTTCCCCGAAAATAAAAAAGACCGGTCTTAACACAAGTCGATTGAGCCGAGGCTGTATCAGTGTGTGACTTTGTGTACTGAGGACGTACGTGGGACATTGTATTATCCGGGGGTTGCGGGATGTGATTCGGTCTCTGGCAAGAAGTGAGAAACATTCGTAGCACCCCCCGAAAGCCCTTAACGAGGCTAATACACTTGTCACGCGTCACAAGCCTGAAATCCATGACGTGCTATTAACGTCGGGTATGAACCAATGGCGAACGCAACTGTTGAATGTCACTTTAAATACGTGTCACGTACCTCGGTGTATTATCATTAAAACATTTATTTTATTATCATTTTATTCAGCTCGACTATTCAGGCAGTCCCTGAATTATTTATATTCATTCACAAAGGATAAATAAAATGCTCACTGGGAAGACGAAGATTTTCATTTTATTTTTTTATTAACCAACATTTTCATTGTCATCTAATCATGGAAATGGCTCTACAAAGAGTAGTTTTAGTTCCATTTCTTCCTGAAGCTATTCATTGCCGAGATAATTGGAGAATGAACAAGTCAAATGCACTTCCCCCAAAATCATTCAATCACAGTTTAAAAAAATAAAATATGCATAAAATCTCAGAATGAGATAAAGTAAATGTGTGAAAATGCGTAGAAAAGTCGATTTCCATGTTCAGTGCCAACCCTGTCGGCGCTAATAATGGGCGGGTAGCTTGGTAAGCCAGTTGACCGTGACTAGATAAAAAATACTGCCGTAACGTTGGAGGGGGGGTTCTCGGCCCCTTCTGACCCTTGGCCGTGTCACTGTAACAAACTATCGGACGTCCTCCCCCACCCCCTTTCTTACAGCCTTGTCATGCTAATCGTATAGGATCCTCACTCTATCGCATCTCCTTTTTCCCCCCCGACTTTTATTCGCGATTCACTACCGGGGACTAAAAACCAAAAAACCTACAGTGATGAGGCGGCAGGAGGGGCAGGGGGGAGGGGGGGGGGAAACTACTGATGGGGGAAGTGGGAAGCATAAAGGAGAACAAAACGACACGGGGACAGTGCACATATAGACAACAGTCACCCTTGAATAGTCTTCCTGAGGAATAAAATAGAGAAGAGAAAAAATACTCTGGAGGACAAATCCGATTTTATGGCGAAGCATGGACGAACTGGTGGGATAAAACGTGAAACGTTGTGTCGTTGAACAGCCTGGTCATTGGGAATGTGACACTTAAGACTCCCCTGTGGATAATGTCGATCAGACGAATATGTTCGTTCGTTTGCATCTGTTATCTCGCGCGTAACCAAAAAAATTGCACTCACGTCGACATAAAATGAACCGGTTAAATCATCAATATTTCCTGACATAATTCTCGATTTATCTCGGAAACGAGTGGATTTACAAGAAAATGTGTAAAGATCTTTTTTATCGGGCAGGAAATTTTCTGTAAAAAATAATTTCAGTGATTTTTTGATGGAATGTTCGTTATTGAGTTATTACGGATTTAATGGGACGTGTCATGGGATCTTTTGCAAAAAAAAAACCTAAAGTTCTCCTGTCTTCGTCACTGAAAAAAGTCTTGAGGGAATTTAAATACCCCAAGACAGGATTGAACTACGACTATCCGCAATGGTTTAGATGGACGATGGCCAGCGTCTGGTGATATAATAAAATAAACTGTCAGCGGCAGCTCACATAAAAATGCTAAAGAGGTACCCATATTGGTCTTGCTCATGCCCTCAAAGATATATGTACTTTCGAAGGAAGGATGGCTTGTCCAGAGGTTGTCCCCACTATTGAATTATTCGTTATTATTCGGATAATGGGTCTCCGTTGCGAGGAGTGATAAAGAATACAGAATTAAGAATCCGCAATTCGGTTTTTCTGCGAGACGTTTACGTCGGCTTTGGAATGGGGGAGATAATTTTTCTCCCGCAAGTCCTGCGAAGATTTCCGTTCTCATTTCATCCCCTCGACTCGTAAAATTAAGTCCAACAANGGGGGGGGGGGGGGGGGAAACTACTGATGGGGGAAGTGGGAAGCATAAAGGAGAACAAAACGACACGGGGACAGTGCACATATAGACAACAGTCACCCTTGAATAGTCTTCCTGAGGAATAAAATAGAGAAGAGAAAAAATACTCTGGAGGACAAATCCGATTTTATGGCGAAGCATGGACGAACTGGTGGGATAAAACGTGAAACGTTGTGTCGTTGAACAGCCTGGTCATTGGGAATGTGACACTTAAGACTCCCCTGTGGATAATGTCGATCAGACGAATATGTTCGTTCGTTTGCATCTGTTATCTCGCGCGTAACCAAAAAAATTGCACTCACGTCGACATAAAATGAACCGGTTAAATCATCAATATTTCCTGACATAATTCTCGATTTATCTCGGAAACGAGTGGATTTACAAGAAAATGTGTAAAGATCTTTTTTATCGGGCAGGAAATTTTCTGTAAAAAATAATTTCAGTGATTTTTTGATGGAATGTTCGTTATTGAGTTATTACGGATTTAATGGGACGTGTCATGGGATCTTTTGCAAAAAAAAAACCTAAAGTTCTCCTGTCTTCGTCACTGAAAAAAGTCTTGAGGGAATTTAAATACCCCAAGACAGGATTGAACTACGACTATCCGCAATGGTTTAGATGGACGATGGCCAGCGTCTGGTGATATAATAAAATAAACTGTCAGCGGCAGCTCACATAAAAATGCTAAAGAGGTACCCATATTGGTCTTGCTCATGCCCTCAAAGATATATGTACTTTCGAAGGAAGGATGGCTTGTCCAGAGGTTGTCCCCACTATTGAATTATTCGTTATTATTCGGATAATGGGTCTCCGTTGCGAGGAGTGATAAAGAATACAGAATTAAGAATCCGCAATTCGGTTTTTCTGCGAGACGTTTACGTCGGCTTTGGAATGGGGGAGATAATTTTTCTCCCGCAAGTCCTGCGAAGATTTCCGTTCTCATTTCATCCCCTCGACTCGTAAAATTAAGTCCAACAATTCCGGGCATTAGATATAATCATATCCGAAAGATCCTCAAGCCCTTAAAAAGAATGATTTCAAACGTTGAAATATTCAAGAACAAATCATCCAAAAGTACCATCTTCTCACTTTCCCAACCCCTAATCAAATCTCAAGCCTCACCTTATCAAATTTTCCCCGATCATAAAGGCGAGATTATTATTCTCCTCATCATGCCGAGCGATTCAATTGCTCCTCATTCATGCGTGCATCGGAAAAAAAGGGAGGAAAAAAATTCAGTGGAGTGAAATATTCTCGCAAAAAGTGGATTTCACCAGGTTTCCGGAGGTATTACGACACAATTCTCTTAACTCCAATTCGTCCTCCTTTATTTCATCTCTTATTTTTTCACAGTTGAATTCCTCCTCTTGTCGTGCATCAACTCACCAGTCATCAAGTTGATTGACGAGTGATATCGTTACCCGTTTAGTCTACGAGCTGCGTGCGATCTAGTGCAATGATCTTGTTACTGTTATTCTGCACCCCTTGCTCGTCCCCCGACTCCAAACATTCGGTGAAATGTTGAATTCATTCTCAATTCTTTTTTTTTATCATCGAATTTTTCATGTGGATGAACTATTGAGATAAATGAATTTCAATCAATTAATCAAATGATAAATCTATTTATTTAATTAATCACACGGCTAATTCATTAATTCATGCGAATAAATTCGTACGCACGTGGAATTGAATGATTTCTTTGGATTAATTCCCCGAGATTTTCCTAATATTCCAATAGACCAAGTCGTCTTCAGTTTGTTATTCGAAAAATGTAATGCCTCCGAAGGGTCAAGCCCCCCCCCCCACATTCGTCTTCCGATCGTTTCCCCCTGTCCACCGGATTTCTCTTTCAATTCTTAGGATTCTGGACTCTCCTCGATATTTTTTACGACTATTCTTCTCCTCAAGCCAATACATGAGATATCCGGACTCTCGATAAAGGATAGAAAAGCTATTTTTTCTAGAAGTCATTAACAATTATTGTGGGATTATTGCCGGAGCCTCGGGCTCATTCACGTTACGGCGGTTGTAATAGTTCACGTGGTTCAGTGGAGAAAAATGCGAAAGGGGTGAGGATGCGAATAGATAAAGATAAGCCACGGTAGTTTCGTGACTTGACAATAAAGCTTGACTCAGCTCCACTGGAATACGTATGGAACGCTCTTTTGCCCCCTTTTCCTCACCCAAAGACGATCGAAATTTTTTAACCGAGGCGCAATGTTGATTGAGGGAGTCAATGATTCAAGCAATAAATAAATAATATTTACGTTGTTCTGTTGATGACAACATTTCCTCTTTTATTATCATAATAAGTATAATCATCTTATATACAGATTAACAGGAATGAAAACATCTTTCATTTTAAAATAATAAATTGTTACCATTTGATTGATTATGTTACAAGAAAATAACAGATGTTTGTAATCATAGTTAACGTCATAAAAAATATTAGAACCAGAATTAAAGAAAAAAGGATATAAGGATCTTCTTTAGTCTTGAATATCTCGAGATTGATTGAGTGAAATTCAACGAATTTGGATTCATTCAAAATGAGACCAGATTTTTTGAAATTGCAGCACTGAGTCAGGAGATATCAATGATTTTAACTCCCATTTCCAAATGTCCAAAATGTCTATAAAAAAAGAGACAATTTTCTAGATTGCACATGTCAATTGCACAAAATTCCAAAAGATTTGAATTAATCTAAATACACATTGGCATGATTTGTCTCCAATGGTAAAGTCCTCGTTACCCTACCAATAAATTAAAAACAATGATAAATTTTTAATGGATTTGTTCAGAAGAGTGAAATGATAGAACATGAAAAATTTAAAGTTCAACATTTTCATCACTTCACCGACCGATTCACATAATTATGATTGAGTTTCACGTCCAACAAGCGCCACTGCGGCGCTGTCGATGTCACAGATAGACCTCAGGACTGGCTGGTGCCGGTGGTGCCGTTGGTTGTTGTGCCTGAGCCATTGGAGCTGTCTGGAGATGAGACTGCTGATGATTCGTTGATCGATTGTGCTGCGGCGAGGGTTGCGCCGGATGATGATTCTGATTGTGATTGTGCTGCTGATTCTGCCTCGCCCTCATCATCTCGTACCGCTGCTTGTACATATCACGCTCCTGGACCAATTGCGCATTGTTCAGACGCAATTGTTGTAACTCAGCACTCAATGTTCTGTTTGTCGTCTCCAAGTCGTGACGCTGTTGAAGCCTTTTGCTGCGGCAATTCTGCGCATAGCCGCGGTTCTTCAGAGTCCGTCGCTTCTGCTTCAGTCGGACAATCTTCGAAAAATAATCTACCGTTATAATTTCATCAAATAAACAATAAATTTTGCATCAAATTTTCTCTTTAAAATCCATTGGAAATGATTCGTCATCAAAGATTTGATCAGTTGGACTTGTAATTTTGTCTCGAAGGAGAAGAAAATTTTTTTGAAATGAGAGCGAAAAAAATTCTGATGATATTATTAAAAAATGAGAGACCTTACTCACCTCCTCCCTGGGACAGCCATGGAGACGTTTGTTGAGCTCTCGCACTGTCAAGGACATCAACACCTCATCGTCCATGAGCTCGTCCTGCGGATTGCTGCCATTGCAATTGGAGTAGAGGCTGGTTCCCGTGCGATGAGCAGGATGACCAGGACTCGGTCCACTGCCCCCGATTGAACCTGCTGAGCAGACACTCAGGGGTCGTGCAACCTGAAAACGAACTTGGGAATCGTCTATGCTGGAGGAGACGCCGTTGCTCGTTGGGAGCATTCCATTTGTGTGGTCACCGTTCGGTCCGTAACACTCGAGGTGACCGGACATGGAAATATATCCACCTGGAGTTTATTTCATTCGCTTGATAATTCGTCGATGGAGAGAAATTGAAAATAATTACGAAATTGTCGAAATGTGAGAAATCCGGTTTGATTTGAGTGGATTTATCTAGAAAACGAGTGGTTTTAGAGAAAAATGTGACAAAATCTTTTTTACAGAGCGGAAAATTTCCGATTAAAAATTTTTTATAACATTTTGTCCCAAAATTACTGTTTATGACGATAATTCAACTTTTTCCGTTCAGTCTAAACGATAAATGAACTCTACCCCATCAATTCTCGACTCTTCTTCAACAATTCCGCTTGAAAAAAATTGCAATGAATGAATAAACATATTGAACACCCACCACCATGTCTAAGATGCCTCGGTAAATGCTGTATCTGCTCTTGAAACTGTGGATGATTAGACCAAGCCTCATGCGGCGGCTCAGGTGTCTGCTCTTGAGGACAATGTGGTCTCAAATCAAGTGGTTCCTGTCTCAACGACTGCGTCAACCATCCCATCCCCCCAGTGCCAATTTGCATCTCATCCTGACCGAGTAACGGCTGCTGCTGGTGCAATTGCACCAGCAGTCCACCCTTCTCCCGCAAATCGCGATCATTGCGATGATGGAGCTGAAGGGGTGGCGGTGACGCCGATATAGGCGGTGTATCGGGCGGCGTACCCGGGTGCGATAGAGTCGTCAAGTGCGTTGATATGCCGGACGGTGCTTTAACCAGCACCCCGTGCTGCACCTGAATGTGCGGTTGTCCATATAACGGATGGGGCTGTTCCAATTCGTGAGCGGGCGGTGTCAGCGGGGCTAAAGTCATTCCCTGATGCATTTGACTAACTATATTTCCATTTACCATTACTGCTGGCGATCCTATTCGCACCTATATCCCGGTGGGAAAACAATTTAATTAACTCTAAATTTGAAATTAATTTAAGTTGGCAAGTGGTAATTTTTCCGAAATTACAAAAACTGAATGAATACATTTTTAGTTCATCGACTTTTTCACGGCTACATAATTATAGAAAATATTGAAAGATGTTTTGACGCATTTCCTTTCCGAGAAAAATGCAAAGCCAACAAAAACCAGTGGTTTTTACTTGAAGAATTAGTCGCACGGTTGGGCCATTATTTTTTGAATGAAGTGGTCTGGATGGAGATGATTGAGAGGAAGAGCTTTCAAATAAAATATTACAAGATATATTTCCAGAGTTACCACTTTACTACCAACTTTCAACAAAAAAAAGTAAATAAAAGGAGAGATTATTTAAAAAGGAAAATTATTGAAAAAATGAGTGAAAATAATGTAAAGGAAAATAAATGGATCCACTGGAAAATTGATAGAAAATAGAACGAAACATGAAAGACGAGGAAGTCACTCAAGAATCCGGAAATCACCTCGCGTTTGACATCGGCAGGATCGAGATGATCGAGAACAAACTCCTGGACATACTCCCTCGCGAGATGATCCTCAGGTACTTCCATCTTGACCTCGTCCACCTCAACCTCCTGCACCACAGCGGATTCTACCGTCGTGTCATTAGCATTGAATCGCAGTGGATCCTCTCCACTATTTTTATCACTATCACAAATACCCGCGCCACCGTTGCCGGCGGCTCCCAGACACCCTATCACTGTTCCCGGCGTTTTTAATAACAATCTTTCAACAATACCCGCGATAGTTCCCACAGGCACTCGAGTCAAGCCCCAATCAGATCCAGAACATCACAAGTGCATACATCAGCGAAAAAAATAAGACAAATCACAGAGACGCGTCTCAAACGAGTTTTAACTCTTCACTGATTGTTTTCAATAAGAATCATCACTGAGAAAATGAAATTCACAATAAAAAATAATTGAATTCCTGGATTGATTGCACCTCCGAAGAGAATCCACAGCGGATAAGATGCGAGAAAATATGACAAAAATATATGAAAAAGCACGGATGAACTCCCTGGAGATGCCTCCGATTAGGTTGCCGGTCACTGCGACTGGTTTCGCACCTCAACTACTAAAATCCTCGAGCCTGCGAGTGGACCGCGGAAGGGGGTTTGGGTTTAACACAGGTTCCAAAAGAGGAGGTGAAAGAGCAATGATAAAAATCGAGACAGAGAGAACGATCGAGTGAGGGTGAGGTGACGTGGGGCGAGTGACAAAATGAATTTCCCCTTTATGGTTTTTTTTCTTTCTATCCTATTCTCAAAATGCAGTAGTGGGTGGGAGTTTGCAAGTGGAGGTACGACGAACCTGTGCGGCGCGCGCGTTTATTCCACAGTAGATACACCAGGCGAATGGCAACCTGGTCAGACACAGAGTTGTGGCTACACCGGCGCAATGTGTTTTGAGTGGGCCATGACGTCACTGGAGTAGGTGGAGCCGGGGACTGGCCAGACCTTCGGGGTGAGTTGGGATTGGTTGATAAGAGGGTTTATTCCCATTGGCTGCACTCCCACGCCACTGTCAGGTGGATTCTGAGGGAGAGGGAAGGGTTCTCAATGCATCCATGCAATATCCAACATGGGAGTGAGGATCTTAGCTGGAGGAGGTGTCTATTAATTTGTAATGGAATTATTGTCATTTTTTAGGGGTTTTTTCAGCAGGGGTGATTTATGGGACAGGGGAATTGAGGATCAATGGAAATTATGGGCTTGAGGCACGGAAATAAATATTGCTATTACAATGGAGAAAATTATCTTGAATTTAAAAATAAATTATTGTCGACTGGGATATAAAAAGCAGAAAATTTCAGTTTTATGCGAAATAGAAAAAAAAACGAGCTTTTTTACACCTGTCGTTGTAAAGATAACGGTGAAAAAGTTTTTGTTCAATGTCTTCTAATTCTGCGTAAAACTCCCGTCAATTCTTGATGATAGCCTTTAATATTCTACAATGGGATAATTTTAACTTTTTTTCGTGCTGATTAATTTAGGAAGTGATTGTATTTTTTGAGTTGTGAGATGGAATAATCGTGACGAATACACGCGTTAGGCTCACTATCTCCATTTGTTTCGTATTAATTTCCGTCTAATGAAACGAGATACTTGTGTTTTGAGGAGAAACAAATCTCGATGCTTCTGGTTACTTACTGTGGCGTTGATACTCGTGACAATGTAATCCATCTACTAATTTTAATCTCAATGCCCCTTCCAATCGCCACAACACAATCGTCCATGCAAGATTGTATGTCGTATTTACAAATAAAAGTGCATATGATACGATTAATGACCCTGACATGGAATAATGTTGATTTCGTTGAATGTCAATTATGAATTAATGATTTGGACATCCATTCAATATTTTTCAACAATTTATAAAATCAAAATACCGTTTTTTTTTTAAACTTATTTAAAAACTTTATTTTTTGTTCTTTTCAGTATTCTTTGTTCACTATTTTAAGTGGCGCCATTGGAAAGACATTATTCCCTAGAGAATTGAAAAAAAAAACATTTTCTTCTGTATTTGAGGAACGCTTTGGGTAAAATGAGACGTTTTTCACACGAAATTTTTTCATATCTCCAATAAAAATACTTCAAACGTTCAATCTAAATTTTAAACTAAAAAATTGAAATTTCAGTTGCAATTTAAAGAACTGCATCAGTAAAATCTGAAAAAATACTTATTAAACTTGATTAACAAATGAAAAAACCAAAAACCCTCATTAATGCATAAATTTTTCGCCACCTCAAATATGAGTTTAAAATTTAAATGATATAGCAAATTGTAATTTCGAACCAAAATATGAAAATTTCAATTGCAATTTGAAGGATTTCATACAAATAAAAAAACAAGTACCCTCATTAATTCATAAAGTTTCCAACAACCCGAATATGAGTTTGAAATTGAAATCATGTAGCGAGGACACTATGTACTCTCTTTTGAGGCGTCCTGGGGTCTCTCTCGGTACAGTTCGGGGTATGTAGTCGGTAGCATGCGGCTGTGGAGATGGGCAAGTGAGGGGAGGGCGACACGAGGAGGAAAGAGGGATAGTGCTGAGCCAGCATAGCTCGAACCCCCGTCGCCCACCCCCCGCACACACCCCCTTCAGCTGGCAGCTTGCACATCGATACCAACCAGTCACCCACCTAACTGAACCTACCCACTGATACTATACCTATATATACGCCATACCAACTTTTATTTTATTATTATTATTTTTTTCTTGAAGTTGCACAATAGTACAAAGTCGTGTTGAAAGTATAATTCCGTTGAAATGTAAATTAGGAAATGAGTGGAAATTTTTTCATGCATCAAATGAATTTGTCATTCACTTTTTATGAAAATAAATTTTTTTATTGATATCTTCACTATTTTTATCATTGTTTTAACAATTGTGCGCAATTACTTATGTAATTTAAAGGAGATTTTTCCACGCAATGAATTCAAAAATTCGTAAATTTGAGGAAAAATTTGGAAAAAACAATTATTCAATGAAATTAATAAATTCATGTTTCGGTTGAAATTCTCTGGATGGAAGTAAAAGTGAGCCATCGAGGGCTACTCCCCAGCCTGACAGAAGATAATCCCCAGCAAATCATCCCGCTGTATTCCACTATATCCACAAGCAGACGCACCTCTCATTTGTTCATCGCACGATGACAGATGACAATGAAAGTGAGACAATGAGCCTTTTCCCTGTCCCACTAAACTGTTGTCACCGTAACGAGGGGAGCCCCGGGGGGGGGGCTCCGGGGATTTTACGTCTCGCAATGAGAGTGCCTGATCTGTTTGCAATCTGTGCTCAATTACTATCGGATAATCGTTCTTCGGTTCGTTCGTCTGTATTCCGATCTCGATCTCTCTCTTTCTCCCCAAAAACAATAAAAACGAGCGGCTTTTTACATTTTTATTTTCCCGTTCATTTGAGGAATTGAAAATATCTCCCCAAGTATTTTTATAAATATTTTTTTGAATTTAGCAAAGGAAATGAACGAGTTGAGCTATTTAATTGACAAAGAAATATCGAAAATAATTTTTTGTCCAAAATTTTTTGCTCTGTGAAAAAAAAAATGATGATATTTTTCTTGATAATCTTCGTTTCTCAGAGATATTTTGCTTCAAACAGATGTCAACATCAGAATGAATCGAATGAAACAATCCTTGGTAATGAAATGAATAGTTTCTCCTAATCTTAACAGCTCCACTTAATTTAATGATGATCGACCAGCAATAAGTCCTTCTCGGATCATTTGGTTCCCACTATCACGACTCCGGGCCATTTATCGGGCCATCGAAACAATAAGGAACGGTTAAAGGGCATCAATAATAGTCGTCGGGGTATAGTGATGACAAATATGAAGTGCCTTCCGGCGGTTCAGCGCCGGATGTCCCATAAATGCGTTTCTTAGACTTGTTTTTTTCGTCACCCTCGTCCCTTCATATCCGCAAAAATACCTCACTCAATTTAAACTAATAATAAATAAAGCAAACAAATCCAGTTGATTTTTTCTCTCTTGATGCATTCGTCCTGATGGGGATATAAATAGAATTTTTTTGAACAAATCCGCCGCGAATTTCACACCTCTTTCCCAAGGTGTTTGTAATTCACCTCGGGGTGTCGGGTCGCATCTCACATCTGCACGCGCCTAATCACGGCTGTCGGGTGACGTCACATCCGGCTAAATTGACGATCAAGCGAAAAATGAGAAAACTGCTCGTCCCGTATATCGCAATGTCACATGATAATTTTTTCAAAATGTTTGAAAAAATAAAGAAATGTTGATGAAGAAAATCCAGAATTGCGAATTTCCACAGGAAATGTAAAAAATTCCACAGCTTTCGCCTATTTTTTTTCATTCTTATTCTCACCTATAACATTTCAAAAAATTAACAAACTCGTAAATTAATAACGAAAAAAAATGTACAAAAAAAAATCTAAAGAATACAACATTTATATTTATATTTTTGGGCATAAATTCATGAAATTCTTATGTCACGAATTTATGCATTGAAATAAACTGGAACTCATTGAAATTAATTCTGACGTATACCGCGAGATCAATATTGCAATCACCATTTGCAAAAAAGTCCGAAGATTATTGATTCGCATATGAAGATGATAAATTATAGTGGAACTATAACTCCATATAACATACATTGTTGCCATTTTCGCTGTAGTGACATTGAAAAAATCACAAGTCGAATCAAAGTCAGGATTCGTATCACTTATCACATTGGCGATGACCTTTGCCGTCTCTCCGATTGGCCAAATGTCGGAATCGACAGATAATTGAGTAGTGAAGTCGTAAAACGTGACAGAAGGCAAGTCAATTTCCCACATGTCGTTCAATGTTCAATTATCTCGATAACAAGTTATTTTATCTGGAAATTTTTTCGTTCAAAAAACGATCTCATATCTTCAATTGAAAAAAACTTCCAAATCAATTTTGGCTTTTATTTCACAATTTGAAGAATACGTGTCAATGTCTCGAGATAATTACGTCACAAAAGAAAAACTAAAACTGCGATTTTGAAATTTTTCTCAACTCTGAATTACAACATGAGCCACTGACGTTATTCCCCTTCCCCCATGCCTATTTCCCTGAATTGCCGCGATGATTTTATGAAAGGGTTGAACAGCAAACATCGTTAATTTCCAGCTCGTGAAATTTGACGGTTTTGGCCCTTTACCAGTTGCCGACTGGTAAAGGTCAATATTACTCGAGTATACTCAACAAATAATCCTCACTGAAGCATAAATGAATTGGCCTCAGTGTTGTCTGTGGTTCTTCTGGCGTTTAGCTTAGCATCGAGGCCTTCCTACTATCCGGCATGTTCCCGGTATAATCACAACTCTTCCCTCGATTCCTATCGACCATTCGACTTTTCGTCTGCACGTGCACTCGAGACTCAATTGTCTAATTGGCAAATAAATCTCGTTGTTTTCGGAAGGGGGCAGGTTCTCGCACTATCCGGGATATTGATCGGGGGATCAATGGAGCTGAGATATTCGAGAGAGTCATTCCGCTTCTTTTTATGTTTGATTTGAATCTGTGATTTTGAGCAAAGGGCACATCTGGTGGTGTCAGTCGAGGGCTTTGACACCACGGGGGGTGACCTGCGGGTCACTTGGGATTGTCACCTGCTGGGTCGAGGGGGAATTTAGGTGTTGAAGAGTTTTTTTATTTTATAAAAGGGTTGATGAATTTAAATGCGAGGAGAATAAGTCAATTTATAATGAATTCGATGGAAAATTCTATTGATTTTTGGCCAATTCTATTAAAAAATTCCACAGGTTTACTGCACGTTTTTTAATAGAAAATGTCTATTACAAACTTTTTACTGTTTTTCCACTCTATTTCTCTTCAATTTTCACTTTTAAAATCAGATAAAAATTCTTTTGAAATTCTAACCGAGGAATTGGTATTTACGCCGAACTGTACCCTAAAATTTAATGTCTAAAAACAAATTGTAACTCCCTGTTACAAAAAAATAAAATATCTGAAGCATTGCAATAGAATAAATTGAATAGAAAAATCGACTTGTTTTAATTTCTTTCTAAACTTATAGTGAGAGATTGTTCAATCATTTTCATTAATAAATTAAATACAAGTTATCTACACGACTGCAAGCTGATTCTACAATTCCCCGAGTAGAACAATACATCAGGTGAATGCCACTAACAAACTATTGTCCGATAATCGCTCAATTCTCTCTCTCTCATTTCTATACAACTGGTGTAACGTGTATATAGTCGTTGGGGGTTCATACGGAGACCTAATTGAGAGTCCTATGTCGTACCGTCTCGTATGGTCTAATCGGGAGTTTCCCTAGTTTATATTAAACGTCAATTTCGTTCGATTTTATTATTTCAGAAGAGTATCATGTTATTTTTCCCATTCTATTTTTTACCCCTGTGGAGAGGGAGGGGAGAGGTGGATTATCGAAAGAATAATGCAAAAATATTGTAATAATATGCTGTTTATTTAATTAGCTGTTTAAATAATAGTACATTTCAGAAAAAAAATATTTGCAAATGTATCACATCACATAAATTTCATAAGGCATCATAAAATCGTTATCAATCTATAATCAATGATTTACGCAATGGAACTGCAGAAGAGAAATGCAATGGCTTTAAAATACAGAGAAGTAAAAAATATTTCCGCATCAGTTGTCGATTATTAACCATTTGTCGGTTATTCTCTCAATCTGCTTCGTTAGGATTGGATTTCTCAGGCGGATTTTCACCTCTAGCTTACCACCAGCTGCTTTTCTTCCATTCATCAACTGCAAAACACGAAAAACAAGACATTAAGCTCTCTAAAATAATCAATAGAATTGAATTGGCAAATTAATTAGTGAATTTAATACCGGAAATGAATCGTGGAGAGTGCATTGTGACTCCAATGGCAGAAGTTTGACGGTGACAGTCCCCAGAAGACTGTCACTTCTGAAAAATCCCCTGAAAAAAATTGAAAATTTTTCATGATCAGAGGAATAAAACTTCTCAAGGAATATTGTGCAATCTAAATCGCTAGAATAAGAAAATACTGTGGAGAATAAATGCACTACCAAAGATATGAATCAGATTGAAAGTATTAGGTCGAATTACTTCATGACATTTTTAATCACAGGATTAAACAAAATAATTCAAAAGTTGATGAAAAAAAATTTTCTCAAAATTTAAATTTATTAGTGCCATGCTGGTACACTTCATTTTCATACCTTGGGTGAGTGCAACACAGCAGAGGATTCATCGAGCATCTGCAAGCAATACTCTAGTCTATTTAATGCGTCTAGATAATAAAAAATGATCCTAATAACAATTAATTGAATTACTGGGGGTTACAAATTCAAAAAGTGCAAAAACCAATTACAAAGACAAAATATTAAACATTAAATTGAGAAGAAATTATTTCGAGAATCGTTAGATGATAGGGAAGAACTTACCCTTTGGACCACACTTGACACTTGAGCCCATGCCTCTTGAAGGCACGTTGACAGGGCCTGCTCGATCGGTCTACTATACCAGACAACGTAAAGGTAGCATCGTACTCAGGATCGCTGGTATTTTTGATCGTTGAAGTGCGATCAGTCGGTGGACTATCACTTGGATATGGGAATTCGTAGATAACATAGGTGTCTGCCTCCTTTGGATAGTTTATTCCCCTTATGATCTGTATTTCTACATCACCATCGTTTAAATCTGTGCAGCTCCTGCAGAAGGTACACGAATGAAAAATACAATTCAACGATTTTTCCAAATATTTCAAACCTAATGGACATGATATTACAATGATAAATTGATATTCATTATTATTTTAGAGGCTTTTAAAAAGTTACCAAGAGAGAAAAAATAAAGATCACCGAAGAATGGAGAAAAAAAAAAATGAATACTCACTGTACAATAGCATAAGTCTTGACCTCATAATGATGTTGTGGGGGTGGTAGTCCATCCCTCCTCCTGACCCTCAACATATCAAGATCCTTGCTGTACCCCAAGGCGAGTCTCTCCCACCTGTTGTAGCCAGGCACATCCCCCAGAGCCTTGGCATGATCCCTCGTGGACAAGCACGCCTTCTTGTGTTTGATCAAAGTAGCCTCCAGATTATCATAAATCTCCGAATCCGAACTGTTCTCATCGATGGGCTGACACTCCTCAGAGGACACCAGAGCAAAACTCTCATCAGAAGAGGCCTCAAGCTGTGTCTTAGCATTGGGAGAAAGTGGAAGTGAGCTCATGTCTACAGGCAGGCCAGCTCTGCTCGCATTAATGAGAGGATCGATGCCTTTCGCCTGCCTGAGGTAGTCCCTAGCCAGCTCCAGGTCCCCATCCTTCTTGGCAGTCAGTGCTGCACGTTTCAGTTCAGCTTGTCTGCGTTCCAGAAGGAAAATCTGCTTGTCAGCCCTTGTTTTTGGATTCGTCATGGGTTTTCTGGGGATTGCCTTGGGTTTCTCAGGTTCACTGGGTCCTGGAGGTGCTGGGGCAGGTCTACTGGGCCCTGGAGGTGGTCCAGGTGGTGCTGGAGAATCAACAACGATTGGAGGAAACCCTGGGGGCGTTGGAAGCTCGTTGAAATCCACAGGTTTCCCCTTGGCATGGAGTTTGATGGCGTCTTCGTACTGTTTACAGATTCTCCCGTATCTCCTGGCCTTCGAGGAGTTTCCCTCCTCCTCTGCAGCTGTTTTAGTTCGACGATAGACTTCCAAACGCTCTTTCAACGCCCCTGCTATCCCTTCCCCTGTTATTGGAGCTGCTGATTCCCCTCCTGATGATTCCTGAGTCTCATTCTCCTCTTTTTGGGCTTCCACGGGGGGATTTGCAGGCTCCGACGCAGTTACAGCATCCCCAGGGAGCTGGGGGGAGGGTGGCATGTCCGATAGGTCCACTGTTTCACCTGCATTGAGGGCTGCGATGACTATGTCGAACTGTTTTGCTATTTTCACGTGGTTTAGGGCTTGCTCTACGTTTCCTGATTTTTTCCATGTCACTGCAGCTATTCTGTATTCTTGTTGACGCTGTTTCAGGAGGGATAAACCTTCCTGGTCGATTGTTGGGGGGACTGCAGGGGTTTCAGGTGTTTCTGATGGCTCTGGCGTGGGTTCTGGAGGCTCAGGAACAATTTCTGGGGGTGGTGGGGCTGGATAAATGAGAAGTTGATTTAAATTATGTTCAATTGACTTTTTTAACTGAGGAAATAAATTGCTGCACAACTTCACTAAATTTGTTCAATAAAATTTCAACGACCTATCACACGAATTAATCAACACATTGAATTACTTTATAGATAAATTACCTGACCCTTCACCTGCAGATTCATCATGAGGTAACGCCGATGGAGGCAGCTCTGGGGGAATTTCGGACTCATCAATAGCACCCCCACCCTGAGTAGAATGTAACAACCCCTGGAGAGTCTTCACTCCTCGCCCATACCTCCTGGCCTTGCTCGTGTCGTTCTGACTCTTTGCTTTAGCCTCAGCAGCCTTGTACATCTCCAATCTCTTCTCCAGCAAGGAAGTTGTCTCCGTCTCCACTGTGGGAGAGGCCTCCTCAGGGGCTGCCTCGGCTTCCGGCTCCTCATCGTCTGATATTATCCCCTTTAATTCGTTCAGGAGCTCTGGGTCGTTCTCATCCACGTCCTCGTCGTCTTCCTCGTCTGAGTTGATGTCCTTGGGGATTTCGACGACTGGCTTTTTAGGCTTTCGTGCAGGTGCTGGCATAATTGATAATTAATTGATGAATTTATGAATTCTAGTTGAATTTCTGATTTATTTATTGCGGTTTTTACCTTTAGGTCGAGCTCGAATCTCTTCTCCACTAGTTAAACGACGCAATTCCGCCTCCAACGCCTCATCATCATCATCCTCGTCATTGCCAACTGGATTTATCAAGAAATCCATTGAGTCACCAGCCTGATGGGACAATTTCAACATTACACCATCAGAATTCGTAATTAATTGGCGATTTATCATAGCCTTGATAACGTGAGATTAGATTTCAGCTTCAATTAGAACATTTAACAACAGTTAGACTAATTATTAATTAAAGTAAGACAATAGTGCAATTAAAAATGAAGTTAGTAAATAATAAAATTGAGGAGGAATTATAAAAATATATAAATAAATAAAAATGTTACTTCATTAGCGGGTTTAGTCGTGCGTTTTTTAACCTCTTTCTTCTTGCTAAACATTTTTATTTAAAATGTCTTACGTAATCCGTGAGGATTATGGTTAAAAAAATTCAGAGTCGCTGGGAATTCACTGTCTCTTCAATAATGCAGGTGAACAATAACAACTGGTTGAGAAGGACGTTAGGTGTGACGGGTATGAATCTTTGTGCGAAACTGTAGATTGAGTTGACTTGTCAGAAGATCTCAGTGACGAACTGCCAGAATTGCGAAAATCCAAAAATTACAATTCATAATTCTTCATTTATCTCGAAAACGAGTTGGTTTACAAAAAAATGTATCGAAATATTTTTTATAGAGCAGCAAATTTCCCATAAGAAAGATTTACAGTGATTTTTTGCTAGAATGACTCATTACGAAGATATTCCCGATTTAATGAAACGGGTAAAGTAGAAGAGGAGAAAGTGAGTGAAAAACAGACCTATTTTAATCGTGAATATCTCCTCAGTAAATGATGGAATTCTGATGAATCAGAGCTCATTTTAAAGGCCAAAAAAATATCTTCAAAACAAAAGAAGAATGTTTGAATTTCACTCAGCCGATCTCGAGTTATTAGAAATTAAAAATGGTGTTGTTCACCCATTGTCGCCACTTCCACTTCGCTACTGGATTTTCGAAGCTTCCCATTGGTGAATATGTTGAGTCACGTGGGTTAGTCGATAACTCGAGTCTATTTCGCTAGACGTCGCCAGCTCCCAGTGAACACGAGGGTCACGAGGATCACAGCTCCACGAACATTCACGAAAATTCACGACGCGAAGTTTCTCTTTCTGTGGCTAGGGGGCTACCCCCTCTCCACATAATTCCCACGCGTATACATGCTCCCCACTCCCAAAACCAAAGGATATTTTATAATCGATGCAGCTGACTTCATGGCAGTGGGTCATATGATCGTCCAGTGCAAGTGAAAAGGGCGAGTCCGAGCATAAACTTGTGATCGTTTTATTGTCAATACAGAAATAACTCCCTGTTTTTTTCAAGATATTCCATTGATTTTTACAATTCAAGATGAAGGGATGTATGTTTAACATCGACGGGGGCTACTTGGAGGGGTTGTGCAGGGGATTCAAGTGTGGAATTCTTCAGCAGAGTGATTATCTCAATTTGGTGCAGTGCGAGACACTTGAAGGCAAGTTAGTCCAACAATATTGATCATTAATTAGGAATTAATCATTAGAATTATTATTCTGCACCTCCAGAGATGATAATGTTCGGTTATTATTCATCAACAATCGATGAAGTACCTCAATAGAGGCTGAACAATTTTCTAGATGAGTTTGTTTTTGACATTTATTAATAAATGAACTATTGCTTTGAAAAATAATATTAGTTTGTTGGAAATGTCACTTCATTAAATTCATTTCATTAATTAATTTTCCTCGGAAGTTAAATACGTGGATTCGCCCTGTCTACTCACTGCATCATCAATTAATTAATTAATTAATTAATTCCTATGGATTCCAGATCTAAAGCTGCATTTAGCTGGAACCGACTATGGCAGTTTCCTAGCAAACGAGCCCTCACCCCTCCAAGTCGGTGTGATTGACGACAAACTCCGAGAAAAGCTCGTCATCGAGTTCCAGCATATGCGCAATCACTCTGTGGAACCTCTCTCCCAATTCCTGGACTTTATCACGTACAGTTACATGATTGACAACATCATCCTGCTGATCACTGGGACACTGCACCAGAGGCCCATCTCTGAATTGATTCCCAAGTGCCATCCCCTCGGTAGCTTCGAGCAGATGGAGGCTATTCATGTGGCTGCCACTCCTGCTGAATTGTACAATGCTGTGTTGGTTGATACTCCACTAGGTAATGACAATTGATTTGCTGAAGAAAAACGAATAATTCTTCTTCTTTATCTCAACCATTTTTGTTTTTTTTAGCTCCATTCTTCGTTGATTGCATCTCAGAACAGGATTTAGACGAGATGAACATCGAAATCATCAGAAATACTCTCTACAAAGCCTATCTTGAAGCTTTCTACAAGTTCTGCAAAGATATTGGGGGAACTACAGCTGATGTCATGTGTGAAATTCTCGCGGTAATGATTTAGTCCCGAAGGAATTGAATAAATCTTCTCAATCCATTTTATTTCAATTCACTGATGAAATTAGTTTATTGCTATTTTTTGATTCGATTAAATTTTATAAAGAATAAATAATTGAAGAATGCAGAATTAATGAACTTGAAATGATTTTGACAGTTCGAGGCTGACAGACGAGCCATCATCATCACCATCAACTCATTTGGCACTGAGTTGGGAAAAGACGATCGTGCAAAGCTCTATCCTCGCTGTGGAAAATTGAATCCTGATGGTCTAGCTGCTCTGGCGCGTGCTGATGATTATGAACAAGTCAAAGCAGTTGCTGAGTATTACGCTGTAAATATCGCAACAGCAATAATTTTGAAATAATTCCAAAAAATAAAATAACAAACGAAATAATGCATTTAATTATCTACTGCAGGAGTACAGTGCATTGTTCGAAGGGGCTGGAAATAATCCTGGGGACAAGACACTCGAGGATAAATTCTTCGAGCACGAGGTGAATTGGTGAATCAATCAATCAATTCAAAAATTATAAGAATAATCAATTTAATCCCTTTTTTCTCCACAGGTTCGTCTAAATGTCAACGCTTTCCTCCAACAATTCCACTTTGGTGTATTCTACAGTTACTTGAAACTAAAAGAACAAGAATGTCGTAACATCGTGTGGATATCCGAGTGCGTTGCTCAGAAACATCGCGCCAAAATCGACAATTACATTCCAATCTTCTAAAGAGAGCCAGAATCCGCAGTGTGGCATCTGTTGAAAATTGTTCATATTATCATTTTCTCCAACACGGCATGGACAAAACCCACTAAACCGAGTTGGAGGCGCCAATAATCACCGTCGTGCTGTATAAAGAAATTAATTTATCATTCACGAGACATGTAGTGTGATGTTGAATTTCGTGGAGAAGAGATGGGCAGATCAAATTAGCCAATTTCATTTTATCGAATCAGAGAGTTGTATATTTATATGTGGAATATATCGAATTCCTGTGTAATTAATTGATTTAGGGAAGTATTATTGTGCTCTGAGTTTTATTGTTGGAATTATTTCGTTGATGTGTATGGGAGAATACACTGCATTCCATTGTAAACGATTATTCACCATGCGTGTATGTATCATAAATTACTTGTGAGAAATATATTGATAAAGACGAATATTTTTGTTGATATAAAAATTTATTTTGTCCTTAATTGAGTTAACGAAACAGTCAAGAAATCACTCTTAAACTAGTAATTTTGAAGGAAATGGATATTATAAAAAAACTCAATTATAAACAAAAAATTCGCGACATGATTACATAATTAACAAAAACTTAATGTATAATCATGAAGACTTCACTTCGATTTTCTCTACTTCATTATTCTCTTCAGTCGACTTTTCTCTCGAGAGTCTACTTTTCTTCTTTTTATTTCCATTTTCACTGTTCACTGGAGTCATCGTAGATGCCTTCCTAGCCTGAAGAATCTCTGGATGTTCATTCCAGAATTTATTTCCAATGATGTCATCGAAAATCGAGACAACTTTTTGTCTAGTCCTCCCATCAGTGTCTTTCACCGAGTCTCTGAAGAGAGTTGTTCCCTTTCGAAACATCTCTGGTTCGTTATTGTAGTTGATTCCAAAGTCCTGGAAGAGGAGCTCGTTTTTGAAGGCTGAGAGGGTCCCTTTGAGGGTTTCTTGAGCCTAAAATCATGGAAAATTTCATTGAAAAAATTTAACGATCAAATACAAAAGTCTAAATGCAATTCCTGAATACCTCTGTCGTCGTCATGTTTTTCTTCTGCACCAAATTCCAGAAACACGTGTTATAAAGATTATTAACGTGAACATCTGCTTGCCTCCAGGACAAATAATCCCTTAAATTCTCATCAGCAGGATATAAAACAATTCTAGCATCGAATGCGGGGGGATATTTCAAGGGTGCGTCCTCAAAAAATTTCGGCCAGTTGAAGACGTAAGCCGAGGCGAATAGAGAATTCACATAAGTCAGGAGTTTATTTTCTGAAAGACAAATAAAAATTAATAGTCAACTCTCCATTGGGGAAAAAATCATAAAACCGAGGAGAATATTCACCTCTTCTACTGTACAGCTGTGTGTCTTTCTTAAAGACGAATGAATACTCGTCACTCTGTCCATAAGCAATAGCAATTTCCTTGAACTCGTCCATGACAGCAACAGCTGCTGAATTCATCAGTGCAAGTGCTCGGGCGTCATTGGGTTTTGTGAAGTTATGGGCATCAGTGAATTTCGAAAAATTCCTTCCATCGAGCCTGACTACTATCCAACAATTTGGGAGACAGACGGTGTCGTGTTCGAAATTTCTGACGTACTCGAATTTACTCTTTGCCATTGTGCTGGTTGTTATGAATCTTCTTAATGAATTTTTTAGCGTCTTAATGGTTTTAATTAACATGTGAAATTATATACATTAAATTCAGCTGCACTGGTTAATCATTTATAAAAATTAATCGTCAAGTGTTTTCCTGAGAACAACTGTTACTAGTTGCATTCTTTGCATTCAGTTGCTAGAGTATATGAATACTTTACAGGTTACTGGTGAGATTGTTCCACTGAGCCCAGTGGAGGAATGCATAACCTACAATTAGCCACTTTCTTCATTTTCCTTATACGTGCACGGCACCGGTCGAGGTCGACAAACTCTTTTCCTCTGACAAAATCCAAGATCTGACCCTTGAGTGAAAGTTGACCGAATAGTTGAACGAATAGTTGACCCTTGGTAACTATTCGTTCTCTTGATTCATCCAAACACGAAGAATTTATTCTGCTGAGACTTTACAGACAAATATAATTATTTTATGTCAATTCTAAATAGTTGTATTCCATTCAGTTATTTACCCCAGTCAATCTAGTATCCTCCACGTATTATTACCTACTTTCAAACCACAGACCAATGTTTGGTAATACTGCCTCCCCCCAAAAAACCCCCTGTTTACCATTTGCACAGTTTACGGTCTTCGACTCGTTTTCGAAGGTCGAATTCCACTGAAGCGTCAGTTGACGCCAAACGCCGGTATCAACAACACACGTGACAGCAGTTCAAACGCCTCGAGAGAACAAAGAAAATATAAAAGCCACTGCCAGTGAAGTTGTTCAGTTTTTTAGAACCTGCAGCGAGTGTATTCCACGTTTACTCCGTCAAATTATCCCATTAAACCCCTGTTAACCAAAAAATGCAGCAATGACTTCCATCGAAGCCCTCCACGAGAAATTCCTGACGACATCGATAATAGGCCTGAGAGTGCTGGAAGTGTACGACCCCTCCTTCGAGAAGGACCCCCTGGACTTCATTCACAGGAACTTTGACCTCTACCACAAGAAAGTCCACGAGAACACAGCAACTGGTGAGCAACACGAGGCCTTTCGTACGTTATTATGTTACCAGTATCAATTGCAAGCTAAAAGCAATTTTCAATGCCGAAGTCGTCACTCTCACCACAATCTGTTGAACAATGTGATAAAAAATCTGCTGTGCCCCGAGGACAACGACGAGAACATGAGAACAATCCTCGACGATGTAGCAATCCTGCAGATTATTCTTTACCTAAACCTAGACCAAATAGGTAAACTGTTCAGAGAGACTTTGAAGTTCACATCAGACCAGATTCACAAGGGGAACGCCCTCCAGGATTGCCTCCCAGTGGTGGAGACCCTCGTGGACGGTTTGTCTCTGAGAAAAAAAATTGAGGGCGATTCTGAGAAGGATGTCCTGACCCTGCTGTCACGCGAAATGAAGCTCTGGTTTCGAGTAATCGACGAGAACAATTCAGGAGACTGGACCCCATTCCTGTCGATCCTCCTCAAAGTCACGACGACTTTTCCCGAGGTTTTCCTCAACTTCTCGTGGGATCTGGTCGCTGGATGCAGACCTGGACACGAGGAAAGGAGAGCATTAACTCTCCTGTGTAGCATCATCGACGATCTCTTCTCTAAATCCTCCCAGGGATCTTTCCCCTCAGCAGTCTCCAAGAACTTGAGCTTCTGTTTCAACTCGAGAGTCCTCTCCCTCATCTGCAGCCACCTGACCTCGCCAGTCCAGCTCTACAGAAAGCAGTCGCAGTACGTCCTGAGGAGAATAACCGATTACTCAAGGGAGCATCTCCAGCAAATCTTCCCTGAGAGGAAGGGGAACCCCCTGAAGCCCCCCTTCGTCTTCTCAAACAGCCCCGAACTGGATGTCGAAAAGATAAAGAATAATTACTTCTTCCTCCTGGAAACCCTGGAAGGGAAGCAAGCACAGCTGATCCTTCCTCAACTGAATCTCCTGGACAATCTTCTGGACGCGAGCATCTCCGAGGGGGTAATCGACATCCTCTGGGTCAGGTGCATTTTCACTCGGATCCTCACCCACGACAACATCACGATCTCAAAGGCAGGACTGATAATGGTCCTTCGGATGGAGCTCGAGGTCTTCGATGACGGGTTCATCAGCTTGTTGACGCAGTCGTTGAACCACACGTTCTTGTACGAGAGTCAGAACTTCTTTTCCAGACCCAGGATCGCCGAAGAGTTATCAAAGCTGTTCGTCAAGGCAGAAATCAGCAGGACGAACCTCATCCGTAAGGTCATCTTGGCAGCTGCGCAAGTCCCCTGGCAGCCGATCCCCCTGTTTTACGTCCTGGAGGCACTGGGGAGGGACAACAGAGAAATCCAGGTGGAACACAACGTCTGGACATCCAAGGAGTTGGAGGCCCTGAAGACCATCGCCGAGAGGTACCTGAAGAATCAAAGTGGGATGATGCAGATCGCCACGAAGACGAACATCCTCAGTTGCATTACCATTTACGTCAGACCACCCCTGGACCTTCGAGATCTGGGGCAATTCTTCCTGATGATCGGGGACGAGGGGTTCTTGAAACGAGATAATAATAACTGGAGGCGCATCACGAGTTTCCTGAGGGATCACGTCGAGGAGGCGACGGCCTTGGAGTTTGTTTCTGCGAGTTGCGAGTCACTCAAGAGTGATGAGGACATCAAGTCTTTGGGGCTTCTGATTGTCCTGCTGTACGACTCTGGGAGTCCCTTCTTCAGGGCTTGCGTCAGCTCGGATCCATTGGCCAAAATATTGTCCCCCCTGAATGCTCACAGAGATGAAAATCCTTCAGGATTGCTCGTCTCCCTGAAGATGATCAGTTGCTTGATGGAGCTGTCACCGAGGCTCAGTGACTCTTACGTCCAACTGATCTTCGGATCTTCCAAGAACATTCTCAATCTCATCTGGAGTGGCCCCACGTCGAGAGCCCCAGGATCCTTCGACGAAGGCCTTGTCTACGTGAGTGCTCTGAAAGCGATGATCACACTTCGAGATTTGTCCAACGACTTCACCGAGTCCCTCAACAGAATGATGAAGCTTGAGAGGGAAGAGGTGAAGAGGATCGACGAGCTCATCAACTCGAATAAAACTCCCTTGCTGCAGGCGTGGTATTCCCTGAACATCTTGTTCCTGAGTAACAACGAGAGGATCGAATGTTCCAGACGAGTTCTGGACGACGACGAGAGGATAGTCTCTGCCTTCCACATCCTCATCGCGAAGATCCACTACCGTAGGATTCGCACTGCTGACAATCTCCCCGAGGCCTTCTACCGAAAGCTCTTCAGCGAAAGGCTCATGATCCTAGCGGAGACTCAATCCCCCGAGTCAATCCCCTTGATGGCGTCGATCCTCTCATTAATTTTTATCAGGCTGAAAGACTCAGTGAATGTAATCATGGACTGTGTGGAGACGATTCAGGAGGCGATTGAGACCTCCTGGAGGAGTTTATGGAGCATGCAGAGATCCCCGGAATTCTGGGGCTCTGCCAGGGAACTGATAAGGCTCGTTTGGTCTGAGAATCTCTTCAAGATCCCGAAACTGAGGCGCATTGTCCTGACGTACGCCGAAGAGATCATCTCGAGGACTGACAACACGTCTCCATTGAGGTATCTCCTGTTCCACCAGATCAACCTGGTGTCTGGACAGTACATTCTGTTCTTCCGCCAAGTAATCCTGACTTCAATCCTCCAGACAGATGGAGGGAAGAATAGAAAGGTCGAAGTGCAGACGTTGAAGTACATCAAGCAGATGTACATGATTGACGTTTTTGAGAAGTCCTTGATGACGGGGTTGGGGGCTTACACAGACAAGATGACGAGGGCTTTGCTGGTGACGATGATCTTGAAGCTGGGGACGAGGACAGAGGGGAAGGACCCGAAAGAATTATTGTCGAGTTACGTTCCTCAGTTGATCTCCACCTTGGAGAAGCACAAGAATGCTTCCTCTGAGGATTCTGATGCTCACAGGTTGAGGATGAGGGTCATGCAGGTGCTGCTGCTGTTGAATGTCGATGATGAACATGCCAAGAAGGTCCATGATGCTCTGCGTGAGCTACTTCTGGCTGAGAAAAACCCGATGAGTGTGAGGATCATGCAGGAGTGGGTACTTGTGAGGCTCTACGTGGACAACGAAGACATGACTGCCCTCATCTGGGATTTATTCCCAGTTTTTCGTGAGAAGCAGCCCGAAAGCTTGATGTCTCTAATGTCGATCGTGCATCACGTGGCGAAGGGACTGTACTCCAACGAGAGGCTGGTGTACCTGAAGAAGGCTGTGGAGAACATTCTGCCGAGTAGCTGCTTCGCTCAGAACAGGGAGCTGCAGTTGCACTCGCAGGTCGTCCTCCTGAAACTGTTTGAGTTGATTGGGGAGATCGATCCCACGGAGTTGAGGGAGTACGACTCCTTCAGGAAGGCTGTGCACGATAATCTTGAGAGTGAGAGGGTCAAGGTGAAAACTGAAGAGATGATGGAGAACTTTTATCTCCCGAGGTTTGATGCCACTGGGGATTTAAATCTCCAGACCATCTTTTATGATGTTTTGAGACTGTCTAATGAGGATATGGGGGAATGGATTGAACCTGAGGTGTTTGCGGAACTCCTACCTGGATACCTGAACTACCAGTGGTTTCGGTATTGGTATGAAGGTGGGCAGTTGATTGGGAGAGAGCCTCCAGTGATGAAGAGAATTGAGCTTCCAGACATTATCCTCCAAGACGTTTCCCAGGAGGAGGTGATCGTTGGCATCGAGGGGGGGATCACCCCAGCTGCTTCAGGTGGAATTCTCCCAATTATACTGAGACCACAATTGACGAGTAATGACACTGGTTTGATCGTAATTGCAAGTCTGATCGAGGACTTCTGTAATCTGGACGGTCTGACCAGAGCAGCAGAGATTTTTTGTGCCAGAGAATTGGTCCTGGAGGCCAAGCGACATACTGAGGATAAAGACTTGAAGGGGATCACGATATCAGAGGTGAAACCTCAGGAGCTTCGAGAGTACCTACTCCAGAAGAAGTCCAGGGGCTGGAAGCTAGTTGGAGCTGAGAAGACTGTCAACAGTGTCAATCTTCTTAACATGAAGTTTAATAAGAAGACAATTCTTATTTTGGGGTAAATATTCCTCTCCTTGATTATTTTACATTGGTAGAAGTCTTTATTTATTGCTAATATGGTAAAAAAAATTGTTCAGCGATTAAATGAATGAATTCATGTTGATGAGAGTTTTTGTATTCTCCGAGGAATGAAAACACTGGGATACCAGCCAATTTGATTCAACTAATGGACACGTGTGTGGAGATTCCTCAGGCAGAAGTTCCTCGATCTCTGAACGTACAAGGCACTGGAACAATTTGCCTGTGGCAGTACGCACAACAACACCTTCTCCACAGTTCATAACTATTGATAAACCGAAAAGTTGAATAATAAACCAAATCATGATTATTTTTTCTAAAGCTTCAATCGTTGCATTGAATTGTTTTTCCCATGATTCTCTCACAGACTGATGGAACCATTTATTTATTGTGAACAAGGTATGTTAACTACTAACAAATAGTAGAGTTAAATATTTCAACTAAACAAAAAAATTGTTTAGTTATTAAAAATGTAAAAAAAACTGTTTAATGTTTACTGTACTGAACTCAGTGATTTATTACTCCAATGAATGCATCAGTATCGTTCACATCTATCTGATTTCATTAATAATTTGTTGTCTATGAGACTTACATGAATGAATAATTAATTAAAAAACTTAAACATCGTAACCAACGAGGTGCCTCTTGCCAATGCATTCACCAACGAAGAACCAGCACCAGATTTCTATTCCCACGAGGGTGTTGATCCATGCCTCCTTGACAGTGAGATTTTTGTAGGCACCAGTTTTTGCACTGTGAATCAATTTACCAAGACCGGCACGAATTGCTGGGATGTCACCTGGCTTTGGCGGAACTAGTTCGACCTTGGCGTAACGCAGGAAGATCTCCGCCTGGGGTTTGGCGACTGTTACTGCAGCTGTAATTAATTAAAAACAAAAATTATTGTAGTCTCAACGAATCCAGGAGTTGAACAAATCAGAAACGCACGATTTCGTTAAATTTCATTCATTCAGAGTGAGAAAAATAATTAATTCATTAAAAATACATGAAATATTTCAATAGTAATATCAGAAACTAGCAGTTATGTAAGAATTGTGAGGTTTTCATGACTCGAAAATAGGTTAAATTGCTATTTTTGATTATTTATAGTAGGATTTAATGGGGTAATTACTCTTGGCAAGTGTTACTGCCTTTCCAACGAGTCCAGACATCTTCCCAGGGTGATATTATACCGTTGACTAACCACTTGGTCGAACCCACTGAAGGGTAGATGAAGAAATGACGACAGAACTGAAGAGAGGTTAACCTGTTCGGTGCAGATTGATCCGACTTCAAGGGGAGATCTCAACCCGCGAAATCACGTGAAGTGATCGTTTTCACGGGGGGAAGATCCGATCAATTAGCCCCTCATGTATAGATATTCCAAATTTTTATTTTTTTCCTCATTGAAGTAGTTATGAAGATAATTGCGAGCTAACAAAAAACATTTGATAGTTAGTACTTTTTTAAAAATAAATTTTTGAAAAATCACCCCTGAACAAAAAGGCGTTATCCCCCCTATTTCATTATTTCCAAAAATTTTTATCACCAATCGGTAGCAAATTGTTTGAAGATTTTTGCGAGTTAAGAAAAAATCGTCAATGCACTCCTATTATTGTGTAAANATCCCCCCTATTTCATTATTTCCAAAAAATTTTATCACCAATCGGTAGCAAATTGTTTGAAGATTTTTGCGAGTTAAGAAAAAATCGTCAATGCACTCCTATTATTGTGCAAATTAACAATTCCAATTTCAACTGAAAACCAGAGTTGATTACCAGAGTTTGTAGCAGATCTGTCAGACAAGATATGAATGTTTTTTTGAGCTCAAATGAAAGAGCGGGTCGAGAAATGGCGTGCAGAAGTCTTTAAAGATGACAAATCTCTCTAAAGATGATGTCTGTTTTCAATTGAAAAGCGCAATTGTGACAACATTTTCCAGTGGGTTCTAGGAGTCTCCCCTGGTTCAACACCATCTTTAGAGGTCCTAGCACGCCATTTCTCGACCCGCTCTTTCGTTTGAGCTCAAAAAAACATTCATATCTTGTCTGACATCGCTGCTACAAACTCGGGCCTACAACTCGGGCCTTCA